ACTAATTCCATTATTATTTGAGCTGACCAAGTGCAGTTTTTCCAATAATTTAAAATATCTCAAGAACATACTTGGCAGGCATTTTTACCAATTTAGCACCTTTTATGCTAATGAATAACAACTTTACTTGTACAACGCCCACAAATTTGCATATAAAAAAATGTTCAAAAGTAAATAAAACAATGATAAAATCTCAATAAAAAATCACAAAAAAAAAAAAAAAAAATTGCTAACCCAAATAAAAAATAAAAATAAAATAAAATAAAATTTCATTCCAAATGCCAGTTGAATATCATTTGTAAAATTTTATAAAGCAAATATTTTTCCTTGACTTCATTACATATAAACACCGAATCGTGCCTGTACAGAAAGAAAAGAGAGAGGCCTTAAATGTATCTATCTTATTGTCTTTACGGGGTAACTCCATCAAGCCCCGTCACCCGTCACCCGTCAGTCAACACGCGGCAAAACAAAACAGTGACGACGACGCGTGAAGTCGCGCGTGATCTGCATGCGTTCACATGCCACGTTTGACTTAAAAGCCTGCCACGTCTACGGGGCCTTAAGCTTACCCATTAAAACTGTAGCAGCGCATAGGTGCATATGCTAATATTATTTTTTTTGTTTTTCCATATAAACATACTATATATAATTATTAAGAATGTGTGTTAGTTTTGGTATTCTCTTCGTATGCAGGATTTCAATCAAAATCGGGCGTAGGTTAAGTGTTCCGAGCTGCTCAATACTAAATTTATCGTGCATCCATTTTATTTTTTTTTTTTTGATTCGAACGATTTTGTTAAGTCTATTAACGATTTAAATTGTTGTATTATCTTTGCCTTTATAAGGTATTTTATTTAGTGACAAAAGATTGCAATAAATATGTGCCAAGTGCTCACTAAGTAGCTAGAGCTAGTATAAAAATGGCAGGGGCGGATCTGCTATGTTTATGTATGTAGTTATCCGATAGTCAATAGGTATGAAAAATCCGCTTTTTCTTCAATATATTATCAGAAATATCTCAAAACAGAGTAATATGCTCCAATATAAATCTAATGTCTTAGTTCTTTTTAGGCACTCTTCTTAGATTGTCTTAGGAAATTAGTTTTGGAAACCTAAAGGTTGCTTGTGTGAATAATAAAGTATATATAAATAAGAAATCTTATATGAATAAGAATATTATATAAATAAGAAAATGTAGATACATAAAAGTATGGCGAAAATATTATGGATAGAATACATTTGCAATGAGAGGTCTTTAAAGACCTACACAAAGCTAGAGAAGTGTTAGCAACATTTAAATCACGAAAAGTAGCCAGTTTTATTGTCCTCTTTTAATAACTATTAAAACCGATAGGTACATATTTCGGCATAAGATTTTTATGTGTTATCCTCAGAACGAATCCCTATAGGGATCCTGTACAATTTAGAGTTATTGAAAAATCTCTCCCACTTCTCTAAGCTCAACAATATTGATGTATGATCTGTCAAGGTGTCTGGATTGGCTATTGATATATATAATTCTACAAAACCAGATCTGTTTCTTTGAATACACTTAACAGATTCCGTTCTTTGTTCGATTTAATGAAATGATATGGAGATCCTTCACTCATTTTCTGGTAATCGCAGGGCACAAGCAGTTAAAATGGACAAACGTTTTACTTTGCAGTTGTCAGAATCTGCAGGTACCGTGTTTTTTGCCATGT